GCATCCTTGTGATGGGACAGTGCTTTCCACCGAGGGGGGCTGCTCTCGTGTGCCACGAGAGCTGTGAGCAGAAGCCAGGGGGTCGGTTCATACAGTCTTGCTGTTAAATATTTCTGGTTGGAGGCTGAATCCACACGTGTGGAGGTGGGAGAGCTGAACCCTAGCATGAGGCTTTAGCATGCTTCTCGCCTCTTCCTGAAGAACCAAGATCCAGAAAAAGCTGTCCAAATTCCCCTCCTCTCCCTCTCCCCAGTCAATAGTATCTGGCTCTGAAATGATGGGGCACACGAATGGACTTGTGGTGCAGCCCGTGCTTGATAGGTCATTACTGCTTTAAGTAAGATATTAACAGCTTTGACTGCAGCATTAGAGCAATTTAAATTGTTAAAAAAAATTTTTAAAGTTCCCTGCGGACATGTACTTACCATCAGTTTTGATGTGGAAACACTGTGATTATATAAATGTTGTTGGACAACAGTAGTTTAAAAATGAGTGGATTATAGAGGGTTAAAAAAGTTAAAAAGAAAAAATGGGAAAAAAAGCTAGCTATATCCTTATACTTATTGGAGACACTTTAACTTTTTCCTTTGTATTTTCATTGTATTAGATAAATAAATGTGAATGTAAAATTGTATAAATTAATGTACTTGAATACTTGTCTGTTCTCCCAGTATGCTTGCTGGATATTTTAGTGCCTTGGACTTCTCTTGCTTCTGCAGTTTAGCGTCGTCTTCCCAGCAGAGCCCAGGTGGGCAGAGGGCAAGGTGAGGGCAGGACGTTTGTGCCCAGCGCCCGGGACGTTGGAGCAGGAGCGTGCGAGGAAGGGAGGTCACCGAGGCCGCGGGGCCGAGCCGTTCTGGGTGTGGGAAAACTTATCTAGGTGGGCAGAGCTGAAGGTGAGGGGTGACAGGGGCCAGGTGGGCTGGGACAGAGGGATGCAGGTGAGGCTACAACGAGACTTAACCAATATTGGCTCTGGAGGCAGGAGGGCTGGGTCAGGAACGGAGAGAGGATGGGGAGAACGTGTATCTTTGGGAAAGGCCCAACTTAAGATGCAGTTTGACTCCAGCTGTGAAGTGGCAAAGATGTTTGGTCAGGATGTGACTTGAAGGAGAGGTGCCATTGCTCGTTGGCTTGGGCTTGTCTGCTGGGATTGCTTTTCTTACCTTTTTTTTTGGTAAAATTCATTTGAGCCAGGAACAGACTGTCCTGGTGCAACGTCCATTGCCGGCAATGGATGTACTTGAAGCAGCCGGCATCAAGAAGTTTCCTCTGTCTCTCTTGGAGGATTTACAATTTTGTTCACTCTTAACAAATTTCAGGCTGGTACCAGGACTGTCACTGTCTGTCACTTGTCACCTCTTAGTACCTGTACTGTATCTTCTGCTTTGGTCATTCTCCCTTTTTGTGTTTAAGAAATACTGGTTTCCTCTTCAAAGTCAAAATAATACCAGCCAGTATTTATGTAGTGCTGCAAGAAGCTGTGATGGATGAGGGTGTGGCTTCCTGGCGCTTGGCAGGATGTCATCGGTGTCCTGGAGCTGGTGCATCACAGGGCTGTTACTTGTCCATGTTTGTTTTAATCTCGGAGCTCTGTTCCTTGCTGGGGCTTTAATAGGGAGGTTTTGTGTCTGCAGCTGTTGTCACGCTTTCCTTTTCACAAAGAAACATGCGAGATGCTTTCTGTCCCTGTCCCCTGTTCAGCAGCAGCGGCAGCAGGGCGGGCGCAGGAGAGGGGCGGTGCTGTGGGACACGGGAGGCTCCGGGGCAGCAGGAGAGCAGCGGGCCCAGGGCTGAGGCCAGGCGGGAGCCTCTGACAGGAGGGATGCAGGGGGGAGGCTCTCGGGCACACCCAGGGAAACAGCGCCGGGACAGAGCTGAGGCAGTAATGAGACGAGGGCAATACTCGTGGCACAGGAACTGGTCAGCTGGATGCAGCACATGGTTATTTAAATTTGATCTAGTAAGTTTGAGGTCGTTTTTTCACTTAATGTTATGCAAGAACTGGTTTTATTTACCATTGATTTTTTTTTTTTCTCCCTCCCTCTCCTCCTGTGGATGAATAACTGAAGTCTAGAGGAATAAACTAATGCTACTGAACTGTTAAATTATTTTGTTTAATATTACACTTTGAGTATCTTTTTCCACATAAAATCTGTTTCTGAATTACAAGCGTTTTCTTTACATTATTTAACAATGTACACTGTAAAAAAATAAAAATAAAAAAAATAAAATTAATTGAAACTTTGGGCTTCCCTGGCCGTAGTTAGTTGTGTTTTGCACTGAACCCTTCTCGTATGACTGTGCCCCATGCTGCACTTTGTTACCTTTGTAGAATATTGAATGAAGCCATTCAAATAAACCAAACCTGCTTTGGTTGAGCTGTGGGTTTTCTTGTGGAACATCAGGTTCCAGCCCCTCTGTCCTGCTCCTGCAGTGATGTTAACTGTTACCCAATTTACCAGTTTGTCACAGGAAATAGAAGAAACCCAGTTTAATGAGAACTTTGCTTGCTCAAAAGCAGTGACCGGTCTCTGACCAGCCTTTGGAACAAGGTACTGCAAAGAGTAATTCCTAAATGGATCTGGGGAAGGGGAGTGGCCTGCGGGAGGAGAAGGGATCGGCTGTCACTGCTTTCATGGCTGAGAGTGTCACCAAGTTGCCGCTGCACACAACTGGGGCAGACAGGACGCGGTGGCTGTCCCCGTGGAAGCAGAGGCTCCGGGAGGGCGGGCCCTGTGCTTGCTTTTGGCACTGAGGGATATGAGCAAGGTGTGTCCTGAGCGCCCTTCCCGGCTCTTCTGCTGCCCCCCTGCCTGCTCCTCTGGGCTGCATGTGCTCCCATCCTGCAGGGCTGGGAGAAGGAACCTTAATAAAAGGACCTCACAGCTTCTCCTCAGAGAAGGAGCTGACTGGCAAAACTCTGGGAGGGGCTAAGAGTATGAAAGGCAGAACATCCAGAACATCCATTTTGCAGAAGAGCACGTGGCTGCTGGTCACTGAGACTCCCAGCGCTGTAATTTTTCCTTTTTCAGTCCTTTGTTGTGTTTTTGTTGGGGTTTAATAAATCTTTGAAATTTTAAGTGAGCGTCATTTCTCGCAAGGAGGAATTTGGTATTTCTAAACACTAATTGCTGCTGCATTTCTTTCCATTTTAAGAACAGCTTCTGTTATGAGTCATGCTGCGCAAGCCTCGAAGAGCAAAAAAAGCTCCCAGTGTAAGTTTTCCTGCCCTTTTCAAAGGGACCAATCCCGAGGGACTCATTGCAGTGACTCTGTCAGAGGAGGCACAGCCATATTTGCCCTGTTTCCAGAGCCAAGGAAGCTGAGGCCGTTACATTCTTCTTACAGACTTTTGGATTTGTTTCATTGTAAAAGTTTGGAACAGCTTTGAATTCAGTGATTTGGAAGGTCTGTGTGCCTCCTTCCTAGCAGGTATATGGTTTCAACAGCGAGGGCATGACTCAAACATGTGGAATGTGCTGCTTTCCTGAGCTGTTCTGAAGGCAGCACATTTGAACTGGCCAGAAAGAAGTAGGGTGAAATGTGGAACTGTTTTCTAGATGTAATCTATAACCTGTTAATTACAGCTTGTCCCGTCTTTCCGCACCGAAGTCAATTCCTGTCCTTTGTCCTGTTCAGGAGGTAAGAGGATAGTAAAGGATCTTTTAAAGAAAAAGGACTAATTAAGTGATGAAGGCAGAGTAGGAGGAAGATAATAAATGCTGACTATTCTAAATGTCTTTACAGTTAGAGCAGTGAGGCAAACCATGGGAGTAAGGTCCTGTTTGAAGCCTGAAATTGATTCTAGGGTTGGACTAATCCGAGAGTTTGTGTAAATTTTCCTGGTTCGGCTCTAACTTCCAGTCCTGTGGCATCATTCTCCTTGCCTCCAGCCCTGCAGCACCAGGCTGCCCCCATGGACACCTGGGGACGGTGGCACCACTCCTGCCACGGGCCTGAGCCCTGCGGCGGCGGTGCCTGGAGCTGCAGCTGCATCCACGGGAACAGAGCCGGCCAGGCCAGCAGAACTCCTCCCTGTCCTGCACGGAGCTGCTCGAAATGGGTAAGGGAGTGTCCTTCCAGTACTGATTACTAATTCTTCCTTTGGCCTGCTAACTGGACTGACTAATCAGCGTTTGGCTTTGCTGTGACCTCTGAACCCCTGTGAGGTTTCTGTTTGCCCATCCTAAAGCAAAGGAGTTGTGCAGGTGCAGCACTGACAGCTCTAGGACATGGTGCCTCCTTGTGAGGCCGTCAGCAGGGCACGAGGTGGAAGGGCTGGCAGGGCAGAGAGGCACCAACAGCTCCCAGCAGGGTTTGTTTTATAAATTCATGTTTATTTCTGCATTGAAAGGGGTTGAAAGCTTATTTAAAAACACAGTGCAGCTCCCATTCATGCTCCCCAGGCTCGGAGCAGGCCCGGGGCTGCCCTGTGCAGGCTCCCAGCGCCCCTGCCCTGAGGCACAGCAGGGCCGGAGGTGCTGCCGCTGCACGGACCGCAGGGAAGGGCTCGGGAACAACGGGAACGGGGGCGAGGGGCTCTGGCCCGGCCGTGCAGCCACGGGGAGAAGGTGGGGCTGCACCTCAGACACGGCCAGTGCCACCCCCGGTGTGCTGCCACAGCTTGTACCTTCTGTCCCCTGGCCACAACCCCCTGCTCCCGCTTGCACTGAAAATCTCTGTGCTGGAACGCAGCACTGAGGGACAGACAAGCTGTGAACTGCATCTCATTTTTAACAATCCATTCTGTTACTGCTTAAGGCAATTTACAGGTAATATCCAATGTAATATGGCCACGAGTCTCGTGCTGCAGAAGCACAAATAATGGTGTGGTTATAGAAAAAGGCATCTTACATACATAATAGCCTGAGAGCACATGAAGTTCTTCTCTGTTGCTTCACTATAATGTGCAGCAGAGTCCATGTGACACAATTTGGAAAGCCAGCTGCAGCCTTGTGATGTAATCCATGACAGAGGCACAGATCCCAGCGGGTGCCTCACGTAGGTTCCAATCTCCTTTTCTTCAAGCTCTGACTTCTCCTGATGGGGCTGCACCCTGCCGCACAGGGAGAAAGTGAGAAATTGACATTTTTTCTGCCTCTAAGTAGGTTCCTCAATTCTTTTTCTAACTCTTCCTTGACAGGACAGTAGGATGGAAAAAAGCAGTTTTCCAAGACCACCGTCCCAGCTTCTGCAGCCAGGTCCAAAAGAAAGGAATGTTTTTCCCACTGGATTTTCCCAATCTCCCAAGAGCCCCAGTACAGGCAGAGCTCAGTCCCGTGTGGCAGCATGTACCTGGGGTGTGCTGGGGGGCACAGCTGGTGCTGGGGGCTGCAGTAGGGGGCTGCAGCTGTGCCAGCCTGGCAGCAGCTCTGTGCTGGTTCCCTCTGTGGGGTGTCCTCTGCTGGGGGCCACGGGGTGTCTCGGGTGCCTGCTGTGCAGCTGCTGAGGGCTCTGACATTTTGGCACCTGTTACCTTCAGGTCAGTGCTCTCCAGGGAAATGTCCCAAAGTTCAGGATCATCTGGAAGGAATGAGAAAGGGATCCATGACACTGTAGTGTACTACAGAAATGGCAGTAGCTCCAAGACCAGCACATTCTTCTTCTACAAGCAGTGACCACTATAAAATTCAAACTGCAAAGCATCTCTTATGTCAGTGTGTTGTATTTGCAGGGATCCCTGTGGCAGGAAGGAATGATGAATCTGACTCCATGTTCTCAGAAGGCTAATTTATTATTTTAAGCTACTATATTATATTAAAGAATACTATACTATACTAAAGAATACAGAAAGGATACTTACAGAATGCTAAAAAGATAATAATGAAAAACTTGTGACTCTTTCCAGAGTCCTGACACAGCTTGGCCCTGGCTGCCCAATGAGTCAAAACAACTCACCAAGCAGAAACAATCACCTGTGGGTAAACAATCTCCAAACACATTCCAAAGCAGCCAAACACAGGAGAAGCAAATGAGATACAAGTTGTTTCCCTTTTCTCTGAGGCTTCTCAGCTCCCCAGGAGAAAAATCCTGGGTGAAGGGATTTTTTCAGAGAATATGAATGTGACATCAGTGTGCAGCAGGGTCCTGCCCCTTGTGCCCTTCAGCAAAGTGCAGGCACCACAATGTGTGACCAAAATATCCATAGTTATATTGAGAAAAGACACACCCCCCAGGTTCTGTATTGTACAGTATCACCTCAGGAAAAGGATTTATCAAACAGGTGTACAACTCTACTGAAGAGTCTGAGTGAAACCCCCCCATAAAGATGGACATCATTTCCCTGCCACTCAGGCAAAGTTTGTATTGTTAAGGTCAGAATCACACTCACACTTTTGTTATTCCAATTATTCAGAGCTTTTACCCTTACACTGTGTTCTGAATTAACCTGGTTTAAATGCCAATGATTTAACACTTTATTACTCATCACTCTCTTGCTGACCTGCAAAAAACTCCTCTTCTATGGCCAGATCCTGTTGCACTTCTGCTGGAGTGCTGTGCTTCACAGGAGCGTTGGAATTTGCTGCAAGGAGGCAACACAGAAAGAGATTAATACCAGAAATACAGACACACCCTTTGACTCCTTAACAGAGCATGATTTTGAAATGACAGCCAGCACCAGCACCAGGTACCCCCTCTTTTGTCCTAGAGCTAAGGCTTAGAATGCAGGAAGTAACATTCTGTACCTGATGGCATCTGATGAGCAACTCTGCTACTTACATGTGGTTCTTAGCCTGTCCATCACCATGTTCCTGCTACTTTAATGTGTAGCCTGTCCATGCCATGTTCCTGCCACCACATGGCCCCAGATTCCCCATGAGCCAAGGGCAGTGTAGCAGTAGCTTGGGCAATATCTGTTTGCTTGCAGCTACCAGAGCCAAGTGCTGCAGCCTCAGATGCAGCAGGTTAATGGTGCTGGCAGCAGCTGCTTGAGGGTGGCTGGGAAGTTGCAGATTTAATGATGCAGCTTTAGAGCTGACATTCCTGACACTTTTGGAGCACAGAGGGGGAATATATGAAAATGCTCCTGCCTTTGGCCTCAGAGGTGTGTTGATGGCACAGCACAACAGCACATGAAGCTTGCCAGGCTCCTGTGCTGTGGGTAACCTGTGCCTGCTCTCTCCAGCAGCTCTGATGGAAAGTGCCAGGCTTGAATGCCACTGCTCACCCTGTTTGCTGCTGGGAGTGACTCCTGGGACCTGCTGCTTTTTCTCCATCTGCTCCCGGAACTGCTGCTGCAGCCGCTTCTGGCGCAGTTTCCTCTGGTAAGTGGCATCACACTCCATGGCCAAGGAGTCTGTGCTCCTGTTCTCCCACCCACAAACACAAAGTTAAACAGGACCTCAGCAATTACATCTTGTGAAGAAAAAAGCCATTAAGAAATAACAGTAAAGAAAATCCCCTGAACTAGTGCTTTATGGCATCTTTGGAATTGAGCTGGCTACATGTTTTAAAGGCCCAGTAATTTCTAATACAGCTTAAAAATTACATTTATAACAGCAGTCTCACCTGGGAGCACTGGGCTGTTTCTGATCTGCTGTCACCACAGCAGCCTCTGTCTGGCCAGGCTTACAGCCAGGTGTCACCTCACAGGGCTGTCTCCCTGCTGCATTCTGCCTTTCCACATAGCTGCTGTATCTTGCTTGCTCTATTTCAGGCTCATAGTCCTGCATTTTAGCTTTGACCAAGTCCAACTCAGGGGGTACCTGGTCAAGGAGAAAAAAGAAAAGGTTCAGAAATTTCTATCATCAACTTAATGAAATAAGCACTGGTTAAAAATCTATTTTGTTTGCTCTAAGCTGAACAATAAGTTAGAAACCTGAAATGCTCTTTCAGTACCCAGTAATTCAGTCAGTTAATAATTGAATTCCTGTGACTTTGTGTTGGTTTAATTGTTCAGTGCTGCAGGGCAGATGGTGAAGTCTCCCCACATGCTCTGCAAACGAGAACAGGATTTTACAGCTTCTCACAGCCCCACAAGGCTGTTCCTGAGTGAGTTTGTTTTACCAGTCCATTGTCCTGCTTGTGCTAAAGGGCAAGGCCAACCTTTACTGAGTTTTGAGGAAGGTACACCACCATTCCTGTTTCTTAAAGATGGGATGTTTTGGCTCTGTCACCTTACAAGTTTGCGGCAGTGTCTGAAATAGACAATGTCCCTGGCAAACCAGAGACCTGGGCCATCTTTACCTTGTGAGGTGTCACTTTGGATCTGCTCCTACAGTGTCTGACAGGACTGCCTTGCAGCTCTAGGCCTCTAGCAGAGTTTGGCAAGTCCTACTGTGATTGAAGGCAGCTTTGCTATGGAAGTCCATGGATCAGTAGCTGCAGGAGGCTTCCTTTTCCCTCCTTCCACAAGGCAGGTCCCTGCCTAGAAGCCTCCTGCCCCCAGCTGGTGCACAGCAGGAGCAGGCAGGACCCATGGCGGCTCCTGAGGTGCCACTTGAGGAACAGCCTGCTGTGTGTGTGTGAGCTGTTTGCTAGGAAGGCTGCTGGTCTCAGGAACCCTCGGGAACGAGAGGCACTGCCAGCAGCACTGACTGCCAGCAGCACTGCCAGCCCTGTGCCTGCAGGAGCAGGGGCAGCCCCTGTACCGCACCTGCCGGGGAAGCTTGTTCACGGCTCGCAGGTAATCCTTGTCCAGGATGCAGTTCCCAAGGGCATTGCCAAAGCACCTGAGAAACAAGAGAGCTCACTGAGACTGGAAACCTTTCATCACACAGAACTTCTGAAAAGGGGCAAGTGCTCATCTTCACTTACTTGAGTGCTCTCTTCAGTCCATCTGTTACTGCCTCCTTCCTTGCCTTTTCTAAGGATAAGGCTTTAGATTTCAGACCTTCACTGACTCCATACCCCACATCTTCATGGTATGACCCATCCTGCAGTACAATTTCAAATATAAGAGGATTTTATACGTGCAGGTGCTGTGCTCTCCCAAGCCTGGGTACTTGCTCTGGGCTGTTTGTTCCACAGCAAGGTCAATGTTTAGGACACCAGCAGGTTCCCTAATGCAGGGCAGTACCCGAGGACTGTGCTCTGACCCATGCAAGGACTTTCATCCACAGCTTCAGGCAATTGCTCAGCTACAGTCAGAGCCAACAAAAAAAACCATTTACCTTAAGCTGAACTCTCACAAAAGCACAGACACCCACGTAGAACCTGCCATTGTTGAGGTCAACAAAGTCTGGAAGGAGATATTTGAAGTGTTAATGTATAAAATCAATAGTGGAAAAGCAACTGTTGTCTATGAAGGTACCTTCTTTCTTATCATCTAGTAGAAGTCTGCAGAAAGCTTGAATTTCTAAGGAATAACTAGTTATGGCATTATCTGAGAAAGGTAGAAGTTTGAAGGATGTCAGTCCTTTCTTGACTGAAAAGGGGGAAAGAAAATGGTGGTGCAGAATATATGGAAAGCAATGAAGTAAGTTGTTCTATTTCTAGAATCTACCAGCCTGAGTTAAGAAAAGATTTCTGAAGGTGGGGGAGAAGGAAGAAGGTAATTTAAGCTGCTGCTTTGACCTACTTCAGCAACCAGTCTTCAGCATAAGCACAGCAGATCTGCAAACAAGGACAACACTCCTCTGGCAGGCACTATTTCAGCCATCAGCATGGAAGAGGCTGAAGCTTTAAGATCACCTGAACACATTATAGCTGAAAAATTTTCCCAAAGTTTTCTGTTGTAAAAACTTCAGTACTGGGTATTAGCTAGAAGAGAAATCTGCAGAAAAAAATGGGTCCCTAAAGATTAGGGGCCTATTAACTGAGAATATCAACTGGTGAGAGTCTAAAAATTACAGGTGAGTATGAAAGTTGGCTTAGGACTGCTGAGTGTTAAATGTTTAATTGTAATTACTCTTGACTGAGTGTACCCATAGAGATCAGAGACTTGATTAGAATAGCTCAAGAATAATCATAAACACACTCAGAATAATTACAATGTCAGATCTAAAATGAAAACAGAAGCTCCATTATTATTCAATTTCTCTCATTTTTACTAACTGTTAAGACACCTGGAAGTTGCTCATGCCTGTGCCCAGGTGCTTTGAAGTGATGAAGTTGTAGCAACTGAGGTCTCTTGTTCTGTTCAGCCTGGAGGAGGCTGAGGGGAGACCTCAGTGCAGTTACAGCTTCCCTGAGAGAGGAAGAGGAGGGGCAGGCACTGATCTCCTCTCTGTGGTGACAGTGACAGGACTCAGGGAATGGCCTGAAGCTGTGCCAGGGCAGGTTGAGGTTGGGTATCAGGAAAAGGATTTTCCCCCAGGGGTGGTTGGGCCCTGGAACAGCTCCCCAGGGCAGTGGGCACAGCACAGCCTGCCAGGGCTCAAGGAGTGTTTGGACAACATGGAGTGACTCTTGGGGTGTCCTGTGCAGGGCCAGGAGCTGGACTTGGTGATCCCTGTGGGTCCCCGTGGACCCCTGTCCTTTCCAATCATGTTCTGTGATGGAAACTATGAAGCAAAGACTTCTTTGCCCCCAAGAGACCCTTACCAACATTCTGCTGAGTGACTGAGTGAGCCCAGCCATTGAAGCCAAACATTTCATTGGCCAGACTGATGACCTTGTGACCCTCAATGTAACAGACCTGAAAAGAAGAGCACATAAACATAAATATATATATATATATAAATACACGGCCTTCTGCACACATCTCTGCACACTTTATTTTTAACAGAGATTTAACACATACCATCTTACACTGAGGAAACCCAGCTAAATTCAAGGTTCAGATAATGTGAGTAAAAGGCTGATAGTGCAGCTTCAGGTGCATTCTCTTCCAGCAAATGTGGTGGGGATTAATATAACAACAAATATGACTTAATCAACAGAAGGCAGAATGGGCACTAAAGATGGTAAATGTAGCCACTATTATATAATGTTTCATATAATCCAATTGTGGGAAAAAGTAGGGATAACATCTCAGTGTTACACAAGAAGACAGATATTCCTTTGTAAAAGATGAAGCACTGAAAAATTAAGTCTCTTTTTAAGTGTAAAAGGAAAATCTGTGGCTCAAAAAGAGCCAGAACTTATGCCATGCTCACTTTGCATTCATATCTGTGTATTAAACTACAAGAGGGGAAATTAAATTTAAAAAAAAATAAGGACTATTGTAACAAGTTAAACCCCAGTTTTCCTGGGAAGAAGGGAGTTGAACACCATGTTTGCTCCTACCTTTTGCCCTCCTCCTGCCTGCCGGCTGCTGATGTAGTCGGGGCCCAGCCTCTGGCGCAGCGCGTGCTGGATGGCTCGGTACTCGCTGGCCGTGTACTGATACTGGGCAAAAACAGCACAGCAACACCTCACTCACCTCCCTGTTTCAGCTCCCCCTCCTCTCCTGACAGCACTGCTTTATCCCACTCCTTCCCACATGGGCATGAGCCAGTGCTTGAATTGGGTGTGACAGGCAAGGAAACACCTCAGGGTGTGTACGTGCCTTAGATTGTTCTTTTCTCAGCTTACTGTTGATAGATACAGGCATTAATTACTGAGCTGCAGCAATTATTTTTCATTTATAATCCTAACCACAAACACACAGAGAAATTTCTATATTACTGCTCAAAACCAAAACATAGTATCTCTGTGATCAACAAGAAACTTGTATTTAAAGACTCCAACAAAACTGAAGATGAACCATATTCCACTGCCACGTGTCACCAGGGCAGGGAGGACAGCAGCTCAGGAAAGCTGAGCTATATAGTTTAAATAGGAATTTCTTGAGTTATCCAATTTCTTTGGATAACTCCAACATCACTGCTATGATTGGAGAACACCAGCATCACAGGAAGCCTAAAGTGTTGTAAGTTTAGGTTTGTCTTAGAAATCCAATTTACAAAATGTAGCAAAGCCTAAATGTATGTTTAAGGATTTGAGAGCTAAAAAGTTTGTGTTGTTATGGCCTGAAGTGGGACAGAATAGAGGTTTCACCACTTACATCATAAAAGTTGTGTATGCATGTACTGGCTGCCCTAACAATTCAGCAGAACACAGAATTTTATAGTGTTTGTCTGTGTGCCATATAAATTCCAACTCCTGCCATTTAGTTTTAGCTTTATTTAAACTTAACAGTAAAAATTTTATCTTTTTCCTCACTCTAGAATGCAAGCCTGTAACCAAAAAGCCTAAGGAAAAAGTGAAAATACACAAGCTTGTGCCACATTCAGCAACTATGGAGAAATGGCTATCATGGAGAAGAGAATTCATCACCAAAAGCTCTGCTCAGTCCAGATAAAGTTTTCTTTTTTCAAATAATTTTACAACTTTTCAAAATGATTTTTTAATAGCTGAAGGCAGTTGGCTTTTCTGAACCTGTACTGAGACTATGTGTAAGCATGACTCAGGCCATGTGGGAATAAGAGAGAATAAAATGAGACCCACTTTTAAGGTACAAGAGGTAAAAAACCTTTTGAGAAGAATCCAGACCAATTCATTATAACTCGAGGCATGCTAAGACTATTGCAGAGAAAAAGATGTGAAGTTCAGTAGGGTGCAGCATGATTCCAGCCTTAAAGTACCCAAGTTGCAAAGGAATAAACATGCAGAGCAGATTTCCAGTAGTGTGAGCCTGCAACTTGCATTTCCCTGTTGGGCAGAAGGAACTGACCTGTCCAAAGGAAGCCACTGAGTCCCCAGTGTTGGAGCTGCTGCTGCTGCAGCTCTCACTGTCCTTCCCCTGGCTCTCAGGCATCCCTGGAGGTGAGAGAAAATATAATCACTGAAGAGCACAGAACTGACAGTCCATATGAAGACATGGCAAAAAGCTTATTCTAAATATCACACTTGTAAAAAACTATAAATGTGGGGTTTTTTCCCTTTTAGGTAAATGTGAAGGCACTGTACCATGCCAGGGAAGGAAAAAGAATTCCCTCTTTCAGATTCTTCAGCACTGTCTTCCTGGACCACTTTTAATATCCATTAATACTTTGATAAAAAGCAGGGACAACTTTACTCAGCTATACCCTGACTTGTCAGTTTTATTTTAGATTGCTGTTTTGACTGTAATCACTCAGCCTGGTGCCACATAAACCAACCATGCAGAGCTGAGAAGCACAGAACCTGCCAGAGCTGTAAGAAGTGGTACCAGTAACTCAGTAGATGGCACCCTTTTCTAAGCCAGTATCCAACACTTCCCAGCACTGCACGGCCACTCCCCCCTGCTCTGGAGCAGTGGGCCTGGGGAGATGGTGCATCCAGCTGTGCCAGGGGTTGTAGCAGCACATCCAAATAACCCACAGAGATGATCTTTTATTGTATTTGCACTAATGCTGAGCACAACTGATAGCCCAGCACTCAGACTTTTGTAGGCAATACAAATACAAGACAAAATCAGATATACAAGAGAGCTGGGGATGTCAAAACAGTTTGAGAAAGTCTAAAATCCTCAGCAGATAGCATGATTTGCCAGTCAGTCAGCACTGGCTAGTACTCTGCTTTGTTAATGCATTCCAGGTGTGGCACTTTTTAAAGTAAGTTGTTTTTCCAGTCTCTAAACAAGAAATCCAAAGTTCATTGAGGACTTGGCAAACAATATTCAGAAAAAGGATACCGGTTGTTTCCTTGGCAAATGTGAGCACTGGCAATTTTGCCAAATGTAGCTAAAATTCTCCTTAATTTTGGTTGGCTAGAATGATTCCTCTCTGGTCCCAAACTTGTATAATTGTACAGTGTTCATACACCTGAATGCATTTCCATCAGAAGTTAGCAGCAATTTGTAAATGCATTTGGCTTTGGAAAAGAGCAAATAGAAAGCAACATTACCAGGAGAAACACTTGTGATTTAAGCAGGCTATTTCCTCTGCTCAGCAAAGAGAGTTCACTGCATGGGGAGGGAGACAATTAGAGAGACATAAATAGTGTGTGTGGCCAAGGGAACTGAAATTTGAACAATACTGTTGCCTCCACGCACACCCCCAAGCTGCCTCAATCAGATCTTAATCACTCTGAGCCCTTGGGAAGAAACAATGACCGAAATGTCACTTGCCTACAAACACTGTGACCAATTTATGCAAAGTAGGTGGGTGGCATTTTGATGCAAAATTGGTTAATACCAGTTTTAGTTAAAGTCCTTCAAGCTTTTACATGGCGTGCAACACTATCAGTCTAAATTCAGTTGTCAGTGGTTTGTATTCAAATGATGTGTGGATCCAGTTTGAGTGAAGGAGACACAAGATTCCAGTTTAGTTTAGTTTAACCAGTTTAGTTTAGGCTTTACCTAAACTAGGCAGGAGCAGCTTCAGCTGTGGGTCTTGTTTAAACCAAACCCTCCATCAGAGCAAAGTGGGGGGTTTTGCAGTTTAGCAAAGCCAAGCCTTGTGTCTCAAAGCAATTGTCTGAGCATTTCAGAGTGACAGAACTTCGATATAATGTGTGGGGACAGGATGGAAGAGAACAGAGGTGGTGCAGGAGGCAATCTCACCCCTGAGGAGTTGCAGCTGTACTAATTACCAAGGATTGGGAACAGGCCTGCTCTTAACAGGCCACAGCTGTGTCCCACAAGGATGAGTGCTATAAAAGGATGGGTTAGGCAGTCAGAGGAGAGCTGGAGCTTGCTGGCTGTGAGACATCACCCAGAAGGTATGGAAGTTTTGCAATAAGATAATGACAATATAAGATATTATCAGAGTAGGAGCTGGGAAGAGAGAAAAGTTAATTCTGCATATGGAGGTATAAATCTATCTTGGTGCTAGAGCCAGGGAAGGTAAGGTACTTCCATTCCTCATTGGAATATTGTTTCCTCACTGCTCTGCTCTCTCCCCACAACATTTTAACTCACATGAAACATTAATGCTGAAGTAGATAATAAACCATTCACTGGAGTGCCCAAGAGCGTTTGACACCCTCTGAGGCCAGGGATGTGGTAGGAGGCTGCCTAACTCATTCATCAGTGTTAAAATATGTGCTGTTTTTAAAGCAGAAAGACTAAAAATTAAAGTTCAAGTATGTGTTTGAATATGCAGGATGATACAAGCAATTTATCAGTTTAAATGTGAGCAGGAATTATACTTTACTATCTTTGTGGCAATGGAACCATTTTTTATTATTTACAGGGAATTCTTTTGAGTTTAGCTGGTAATGGTCTCAGGAAGTTTTCTTGTCACTGAGAAGGAGTCCACATAAGACTAGAGGTGCTGCACTGTGCTCCAAAATATTGCCTTGAACAGGTAAAGAAGCTTAGCAGCTTTTACTACTACCTATTTTAGTCTTGTCTTTCTAAATTTGAACACATTAGGTACATAATCAGAAAAAAACAATCTCACTTTTGGGAAATTGGCTATGAAATACTAATTTTCAACAGCACTCTACAAGTAGGTGTATTTGCATGGTGGTGAAATTGAGCACTGCTGAGAAAAATGTGTGTGTACACAAATTCTTGGGCAGGAAATAAATCTATCTACCAGAACTGATAATCCTGAAGTTAATCTGTTCAAGTGTATCTACCACTGTGGGGTGGTAGATACAGCAACACCTTCACCTGCTATGATTGTGTGAACATAGCTTCTAATCTTCTACCTTCCTCACACACCTTTCTATCTCACTGTCTGTTACCTGCCACAAATTTATTTATTAAATAATGTCTTTTCCTATCAGTTCCATTCTGCCTTGACAGACTAGGTTTTGAACCGTGCTCTAATCCTGTGGTAGGAGTGCCAGCTCCCCTCACCTGTGAGGTGGAAGCAGCAGCTCTGCAGCACTTGAGAATAGTTTGCATACCAAGCATTGTGCAAGCACCACGGCTTGAGCAATGATCAGCTAGAACATGGATGTTCCAAGGAATTCATCCTAGCATCCCACAAGCTGAAACAGGGCTTCAGCACAGACTGTGAACATCCAGAGGGCTTTTCATTCATCCTTGCCCTCTCTATCTGGTAAGCTTCCTTCACAGAGAGGCTGAGTAAAAATCTTCAGCATTCTTTCAATAAGTGCAATTCCACTGAGCCCAGCAAGAGCCAAGTTCCACAGGCAGCAAGTGGGAATCAGTAAGCACTAAAGATACTCAACCTAAGGTATTACTGTAAGAAAACATCCAAAAAACTTTACTAGCTTTATATTTCTATGGAGTTTTCTTTCCTCTGAGAACCCCAAACTATTTTATGAGCTGTTTTTGACAGAGCTGAGGTACCTCTTTCAAGTGTAATGGGGCAAATGTTCCTAATCAAGACAGGCCTGTGCCACTCCACAGTTTAAAAGGAGTGGAAAAGAGATGATGCAATTGCTTGTGGATAAGCTGCACACAATAGAGCTTCCCCAGTTTAATTTCTGATATCTCTAGGTAAACAACCTTGATGGCTTGAGAAAAGTCAAGTAATGTTCTGTTAACTTCAGCAGGAGGAAAAGATACTCACTGAGAGGTTAAACATGGAAATGTTTAACTCAGCTCAGGAGACCGAGTGTCTGCTGCACACTACAGCTGGCCTCAGGTGCTGACAGTGCCTTTTTCATGCCCCTCACTCATTCAGGCCACATTCTGTAACAAGAGAAAAACAGGTAAAATCACACAGCATGGTTGAGCTCCCTGCAGTAGTTTAAATATATTTGTTTTCAAGGCATGCAAGCACCACTGTGACAGTTCCTGCTCAGTTCCAGCACAGGTGGACACCTCCATGCAGTCCCACTCATTCCACTGGAATCTGTGTGTGGTTCCAAATGCACAACTGAACTCTTTTATTTGTCAGGCACTGCTGGGTTTACTCTTGGCATGTCTAGGATCATGATCCTCCCTGCACTGAACAGAAAATGCTATTTATGGTTCCACTTTTTTAACATTTTAATGAACAGAGGGGAAAAGTCTTTCTTCCTTACTTTTATACCCTTTTGGAAGGGTAACAGTGCATTTGTGGGGGTGTGTTTCTATTTAAGAATTTTTGGCTACACCTAACATCTGAAACAAAGCTTACCTGATGAATTCCTGCATTCTTGGAACACAGGATGAGAAACTCACCTCACTGTGCTGTTTCCTGCCATGGCAGCCTTTACACAGCTGCTGCAAGGGGCCTGCTTTCCCAATAATTACAAATCCAGCCCAAAGTGCTTGGTTTAGCAGTGCTTGCTGTGTTTTAGCCTGCATATTTTTCAAATTTTTGTTGGTCATGCCTCCAAACATTTTCTTTAATAGCACTGGTGTATGTCAGTTACCTCTTTGCTGTTTCACTGCCTGCTGCAATTTTTGCCTTACAAAGGGTCCAAAAAAGTTTCATTAGTTAAAAATGCACCAACAGCATCCTAGGAAACAGGTCATCCCAAACAATTCTAAATTTGAAATACATTTGTTTTTCAAGAATATAAATCCTGTTTAACTTCTCACATTACTTAATTCCTTTGCATTTACTCACTATCTGTATAAAAAATATTTCATTAAAGGGATTGACTGCTACTCCTGCACAAATACTTTTTGGTATTATATAAAATAAAATTCCTTATATCAATAAACAGTGACCAAGGGGTAGAACTGAAAGAAAAGAGAAACAATTCTGTCATTCTAGTTTTTTTTCAGGTATGAAACAGTAACACCTCACAGTCACAAAACCCAAAGTGAACCATCTGCTCTTCAAGAGGTTTCACATCCATGCAGGCAGAGTAAAAGCTCTTGTTCTGGAGACCAGACCAGGCAGGAATATTACTCAAATATCATCAATTATTTACATGGGTACTTCTTTCTAAAAGCCTGTGAGGTTGATTTATCACCACATCATTTATGTACAAGTCCCTTCAGTCCTTGCAAGGCAAAGGCAGCAGGGTTTTTAACCCAGGAGTGATGGTTTGGGACTTGCAAGGAACAGCAGCCTGTCCAGCTGTGAGCAGAAAGCCTGCAGCTCTCCCAGATGCAATTAGCAGGCAAGAAATTAACCCAGCCTGGAAATGAAACCTCTGTGAGCACTGTGGGAGCTCTGTCAGAGTGTGCAGCACAAACCCACGCTGATCACAGGCACAGGTGACACTTCTGGCAGCAGCACCCTATTAACATGACACACTAATTAAGCTGGGATGAAAAACCTAAAGCTCTTGGGCTCTGTTTTGCTCCAGGTTGACACTTGCTTATTGTTATGTGGAAAATCATTTACACTTGAAATTGGCAGGATAACTGAGGCATGGGCAAGCCTGTTGTATCTATTTCCATTCTTCTGCCTTCTTAGCCAGCAAGATAAGTATAAATTATCTCTTTTTTGGAGGGATACCTTAGGCCTGACAGAAGGCCTTAGATACTGTAGCATGCACTATATGAGTCTACAGAAATTAATTTAAAACGGACTCTGCTTCCACAGTAGGAAGGGAAGTTCAGGTTATTGAGATCTCAGTGGATATCAGGCTGCCAGAGGTCTGAATTGTAATATAAATGGCAATTAAATATAATAATATATCAAATATAGGCAATATATACTGTGATGGAATAATAGAAGATAATTACAATATAAGCTGTATTCATTGCAAGAAGACACTAATTTAAACACTGACAGTTTACATGTCAGTAAATGTAATTCCTTGTATAGTCTGACAGACCTAACCCATTTGCCAAAATCTCTCAATTTAGTGTCCCCTGGGAGTGAGGGCTAAGGAGGTCAGTGCTGTTGGCTCCTTACGCCCTGAAATCCCAGCAAACCCAACCTGGGAGGATTCTGGATAGGGTCAGTTGCTGTCCGCCCGAGGCTCCCTCAGCAAACACCGGCCTCACGCAGGGCCCTGGCCCGCCGTGGGGGGCCGCTCAGCAGCCGCTCGTAGGGGGTGTGCCCGGTTCGGTGCCAGGTTCGATGCCCGGTTCCCGGTCCGCAGCCCCCGCCGTACCTGGGCCCCGCCGCGGCCTGTTCGCAGTTCCCGCCCGGAGCGGCCGCTACGGCGCCGGAGAGCGGCCAAACTTCCCCGCTGGGCGCGCGCGGGCGGTGACGCGCGCCGGGGGCGGGGCGGGGAGGGCCGGGCCGAGGGAAGCCCCGCGCGGCGAGCGCGCGCGCCGGGGGGGCGGGGCCTGCGCGTGTCTCGCGCCGGCGGCGCGGGAGGGAGCGGCGGAGCAGAAGCGGCGGGAGCGGAGCGGAGCCGAACCGAGCGGAGCCGGGCGCGGGCAGCTTCGCCCGTCCCCTGTCCTGCCCTGCCGTCCCCTCCCCGCGGGCTGACAGGCAGGTGAGGGGCCGCGCTCGGGGCGGGGGGAGGTCGGGTTAACGCGCCTTGCTGTCCGCTGGGGGGAGCCCGGGGCGGGGCGGGGCCTGCGGGCGCCGGTAGCTGCGGGAGCAGCCGCCGCGCTGGGCAGGGGCTGCGGCGGCGGCCGGGCAGGGTCCGGCGCGGGCTGTGGCCGCGGAGCTGCAGCGCAGGTGGGTCCGGGCCCGCGGGGGTGCGCGGGCTGTGGCCGGGCGGAGGGAGGGGGCGGCCGGGGGGGTCGGGGCCTCTCCCCGCCGGGCCCCTCACGCTGTCACCGCCCGGGGCGGGGCGGCCCCGGTCCGGCCCCGGGAGCGCGGCCGCATCGCCCCGCGGGCCCGCGTCCTGCCGGGCACTGCCGGCGCCCGGGCGGGGTTCGGCCGTGCCTCGCACGGGCGGTCATTCCTGCTCTGCCCATTCGCATTCCCGGCCGGGCTTTTCCGCCCCTCTGCATTCAGCCTGTCCTTGGGAAGCGCACGCTTTTGTTATCTCAGTCACCTCAGCGAGGTAATGGGGAGCAGTGTCGTGCTGCCCAGACCTTGTGGCCGTGCTGGATTTTTGGTGTTTTCTCTGCGAGCGCTGCCTGGTCAGTTTAATGTATTTTATTGCATCTACTACGAGCCAGTGTCAGCTGACACGGTGCTTTGTTTCTGAGCGTGCTGCCATCCTGAAGCCTGTGTCAGGAATTGCTGCCCTTCCACATCTGTCTCGTTGGGAGTGTGAGCTCTGAAGGTTAGTTAGGATTTCTACACGATTTGTTGAACCTGGAATGTTACATGCGCTCTGCAAGTTTCATGTTATGGTTTGTTTCATGTTATGGTTGTGACACGGTGTGAAATGGTTTAAAGGGAAGCCCCGGTGGAAATGGGAGATGCAAAGATGTAAAGAAACACCTATGGAGCTGCTGCTGGTGGTGGGCAGCAGTGCACAAGCCGAGAGAATGAAAGCAAACGGATAAAAATAGAATTGTTCTGAAGAGCAATGTGTGTTTTACGTTTTGTCCCAGCACGGTTTGGGGGCCACGCTCAATCATGCAGGGTGGTTGTAGCTGGGTAGCCTGTAGATCCAACCACAGAAAGTTGTCTGCTTTGGTTGTGATTCTCAAACAATGGCCAGGGATGTCTGCAGCAGTCACCTCCACCAGCTGCCTGCCCTCCTTTGCTCCCTGAGATTATTGCGTCTGCAGCCGTAGGTGGCTGCACACACATCCCCTCCTGAGCCACAGCCTGACACGGTCCTGGAGTTTGTGTTGGAAGCTGCAGCAGCTCGGATGTGTGCCCCAATTCAGGGTCAGTTGTGAGTCAGCAGCCTTAGAGCCATTCCAAATGGAATAACATGAGGGAAATCACCACCTTGGCCCATGTTGCTGTGGCCGGAGTTGGTAGTAAAATAGGGGATTTTTTTTCAGTAATGAAAGCAGTGATTATTTAGTTAACAGCTGTACTGAATGTAGTTCAGTTCTGGAAGCACAGTTCAGAACTTTTATCACAGAACAGCAGTTCCCAGAACAGTCAAGTCTATGCCTACTGTATCATCCAGAAATTTGGAATTGTCTGAATCCATCAGGCTGTAAGAGGGGCTGCAGCTAGAAAAAGGTTGGGATCTGCTGAATGAAATGTGAGTTCATCATAATCTTTGATATAATTTGAACTTCTTCCACCACTTCTGGGAAACCAATTCAAGTGTAATTAAATCACTGTTGGGATGTTAGCAGAAGCCTGAACTGTAGAAAACCTGCTCTCTGGACTACATTAAAGCATCATGTTTTTCATAATTTTTAGCATTCTTTTTGATCCTGTCATGAGCTTTTTTTGAGATTCCATTCACGTAACTTTTCATCTGTAATATGTGGCTAATGGATTGATTAGCAAAAGAGGCAAGTTTGGTATTTATGTGGCTTGTTCCTTTTACTGAATTGCAGATCTTGGTGATAAGAGAAATCCTGGCTATTTTTTGAGGGGCTCTTTGGTATTTCGTGGGGTCTTACTTTTTTTCTTTCCTTTCTTTTTTTTTTTCTTCTTTTTTTTTTTTTTTCCTTTCTTTCTTTGAATCTGCCACTTTCTCAGTTCCTGGTAGTAGTGTATGGTGAATAGAAGTATTTCACCATGCTATTGTCACCAGTGCTGGAGTTCCTTGCCCCTATTCCTTACTTTGTGCAGCAGGATACTCTCCCATTGTTATCTCTCATCCCCTCACCCCTCCCTCTTTGCAAGCCTGAAAACCTCTCTAGGGTGAGAATTTTGTTACAGCCCTTACCTGCCTAAGCCACTGGAGAATTGTGTTATATTTGGAGGGTCTGGCTTGTTTTAGCTGAATATGGTTTGGCCAGAAATACAAGTGTGGAGGGATGCATGTGGCTTTTTCAATAAAAGAACTAAACCCACAGTGTGGGTTCTTGCCCCTTGCTGCTGGCCACCCTGCTGCAAGAGGGTGGCCAGTGTGGTGAGGAGGGCTCTGGCCATTGCTCTTTAAGCCAAGAGTTTTAACTCTGGCATGCAGGAGTGGAGCAGGAGGTCCTAGGAAATCCCTGCCGATGGAGCAGTAGTGGTGTTTTGTAGCACGTGGGTTATGTCAATATGGTTGTTGTCAGGGTGAGATTATGATGGAATTTCTGTAGCTGGAGCGTGCTTTGCCTTGCACTGCGATGTTGCCCATGGTGACTTTAGGCTGGCTGGCTGCATGGGTTCACTAGTGCTTCTAGGCACTTCTGAAATAGCTTTAGTGCTTTGAACATTTTGTTTCTGCTCCTGGGAAGTGGGTTGTTGGTTGCACGCCACCTGTGGGAAAGAGAGAAACAGCCATGGATAACAACACAAAGTATTTACTGACTTTATACTCTGAAATGAGCCTATAAACTCTTCAGCCATACAGTGACAGAAAATTAACATTCACAGGTCTTCAATCTTCTACATAATTTGAAGAGTCAGGGTTAATTTAATCAGTTTATCCCTAGGAAGTGATATGTGTGATGAAAGAGATATGTTGGAGTTCTGATACCTGTTGCTTTTTGTGTTTTGCCTTTAAAAAGGGCACGTGGTGATTTCTTTTTTTTCTTCACATCTGCTTTAAATTTAGAGACTTATAATTATGTCCCAGTCATTGCACAAAAGAAATCCTGGTGCACCTAGCCAGACTCCCTACACATGAATAAATAAAGGTTCAGCTGAAATGTATGTATTTATTATAATAGTAACAAGCCTTTTTTTGTGGTCTTCTTTGTTTGGGAAAGGAGATAGGAAGAAAGGGGACTGTGATGATGACAGCAGACCCTTTATGCTGCTATCCAGACTTATGGGTATTATAAGAAACAAAATTTTGTGTCAGTTAAAGCTGCTTTTGCAGAGAAAGTGCTGTAGAGCAGAACAGAGCATGTGCTGTGTTAGGTCCTCCTTGCTGAGTAAGTAGATCCCCCTGAAAGGAATTGTGTATGTGTGGGGAAGAAATGACTAGGAAACTGATAAATGAATGAATGAATGAATATTTCTGGCTCCCAATTGCAGGTGGTTTTTGCTGGATGGGATACCTTGTAGGAATGGGAAACAGAAAGGTGTCTAAAAAGGACAGGGAATGAAGATGTTTCCATGTTCTGTGGTGCCATTCCTGCTGACCTTTCAGATGTAAGAAGTGTTTAACAGGAATGTCACTTCCTGTTTAGAAATAAAATGCTCCCATGACAAATGAATGCTGTTTTTTTTTCCCTGAAACTGTTAGGGTCAGGGTTGATGACCTGCCTTTTACAAAACATATTTTTTTAATATGTCAAAGTCACCTGAAGATTTTTGGGGGTTTCTGAGATGCTTTTCTGGGAAGGTTTCTCTGTCTATATGTGTGGGGGAGAGTGTATCAATTCACATCTTGTGTTGGGTGAGATAGAACAAAGGCTCTGTTACAGTCAGGGAACCTGGCAGATGTGGAAGTAGGTGAATTTAATATAAAAAATATAAAACAAGCACCACCACCACCACCATGCCCCCCAGCTTTTAAAAAGGATTGGATATAAGCAGATGGCAGTGCTTCAGCATTTATTTATGTGCTCTTGAGGAATGAGAGACAGTTCTAATATGAACAGTTACTTTTTTGTCTTATTTCTGTCTTAATTTCATTCATCATTATTGCTTTCTTGCTGTCAAGGCCACAAGGAAATTTTGATAAACAACCCTGAATTCCATGGGTTCAATCCCTTGTGTCCTGCATTGGCTGGCTTGATGTTTCCAAAGTAAACTTGCTTCTGTCCTTTTTGTCTGTAGTAGTAATGAATTTAACATGAAAAGTAGTGAGCCTTCTTACCTTCCAAAACCAGGCAAACCTAAAATCTACAAAATAGCCCTAAAAGACAGGGGCTTCACACTTTTTGTGTAAAGCAAGGTAGCAGACAGAGGTTTTGTAAGTGTGAGGTGGGCTAGGAAGTAACAGGAATTCATTTTTTCTCTTGGTCAGTACACCTCTTTGTTGTTGTGAATCATGTCAATTCTCTCATTGCACCCACTGTTTGTGCTCCTGGCAGGGTTTTACTGGAATGTAAGATTTTCTTTGTTCGGAATGCCATCTTTTCTACCTGCCCTCCCCTCTGTTCTGTCTACTCTGCAGTGTCTGTCCTACCATGTAATCTAGACATAGCTACTTGCCATTAACAATTTGGGTGTGAATGATGTAAATGGGAACAATTACTACCTCTGTTAATGAAGTCTAATGTGTCTGCTACAGTCCTTTATCAGACTAAGATGCCTCTTGTGAAAGCTGACTTTGCTTTTATTATGAAACTGACGTACAAAGGTTTCCTTGTGCACTCAGGAATCAGTGTGGCAAGGAGATTCTGTGTTCTGGAAGCTCTCACTCTGCTGCTGAGAGGCTCCAGAGGGGTCCCTGGGCTGTGAGGTGCACTTGGCTGCCTGCTCTGTGATCCCACTGCCCCGCTCCTGACCATCAGACAGTGATGCTCTTAAGGAATTGTCTCCACAGATGTTGCAGTTTGTCAGCTGGTGTCAGTCCTGAACAGAATTTGCAGCAAAGAAATTCACAGGACATGCTGAAGGTTGCAGGAGTTACTCTGAAATTCTTTTTGTTTTAAAAATGTGGGCTGAATTTTCCCTGTATTTCTGCAGCATGTTTGTGTGTGTTTGGTTGCTTGCTTACCTGGAGGTAGCTAATGGGCTATTAGTGTTTGTCTTGGAGTAGTGAGAGACATGAAAGGCATTATTAATTTATGTGACAGAGAGATTTTCCAGAAGGTAACAAAACTTTTTTTTTTTTTCCAATGAATTTTCTGTGTTCTGTCAACTGCAGACAGGAACACCTGCCCTCTGACCCACTGGTTCACATAAAATATTAGGTGTAGGGACTGAGTGTGACAGCACTGCTGAACACATCTCATTTTACTGGATTCTTCATACTGAAGTTTGATATTCAAGAGATCCCTCCAGAATTACTTACATTTCTACTATGTCCCAATATAGCTTTTATTGAGACCACTAGAGCTTTTGACAAGACCCATGTTCCTGTTCCTGCCCTCTCTCATGCCACAACTGCCTTGCAAGTAAATCTCCATGAATTTGTGCAGGTGGCTTTTTACTGTTCTTTTAGCATGCCAGGTTCTGCTCCTGGCATGCTCTGAGGGAAGCTGGGTTCTCCATTGCTTTTCACTGCCTGGGACTAAGCTGTTGTAGTGAAACAGGTGGATTTGAGTTGCTACAGGTTGCACTGCAGCACATTTCAATGTCTGCTGCCAGATTATAAACATTTTCCATGGTTAATGGTGTCTGCCCCTCAGTGCTTTTGGACAGTCACCTGTGACCTGAGAAGACATTTTTCTTAGCTGGCACTTCAAGCAGGACGTGATGTTACCTGTTTTAAAATTTTTATGCAGAAAATGTGTTCATAACTGTCCTTTTCTAAACCTTTTTCTGCAATATTGTATAATTCTTGCCTGTTCTTTTTCTGATTGTATTTCTTACAAGTTTTTCCATAATCACTAGATAGCATTTTCAACTTATGTGAAAGCAGCTCAGGTCTTTGTGCCTGCAAAGGTGCTCTGCCAATTTAAATAGATATAAATATACATAGAAAGTTTTTACTTGGGCTGATGTGATACTTTTAATTTTTTTTAAATTGGTTTGCATATAAGATACTCTTTGAAGTTTTTGTTCTATTAATGAACAGTGAACAAGAGAATTTTGTTTCATAACTGTATAGTTCTGCAAGCTATCTTGAGGAAAAATGGTTCAGCACTTGCTTCAGTGCTAAACCCAAAACAGTGCTAAACTTAAACAAAAACGGTTTCGTTTTTTAAGCTCTTTATGTTTAGAGTGTCTATTTTGTTTGTTTTTTTTTTGTAATCCTGGGTAAGGGTTCTTATATTGGCAGAAAAAACAAAGGTTTTTGAAATCAACAGGAGAATTTGCCAGGGGAAGAGGGTTCATACATTTAATACATTCACAGTTGGACATTGTTCCTTGTGGTTATCACCATCTTGTACAGTTAAGGGATGATTTATTTGTGACTAAATTTAGTCTCAGTAGAAGAGGAAAATAGTAACAGTGCTGCATGTTGGTCCCATGGAAGATAAGAGACCATACTTGTGAGACTCCCAGTAAAATGCTAGTGTGAGTCAGAATATTGAAAAACTAACTTTTCTGGTTGTGGTGTTATCTGAAAGAGATCTTCCATGTACTTTTGCTGGGGCTTTGGGAGGGAAACTGGAATTCTTTCTTCTTCCTGATTAATTGGTGCTGCAAAAAAGAATTTTTTTTTTTTTTTTTTACTTCGCTCATTTTGCTGTTTTCACAGTGAAAGATTTTTTTCCTGGTGTTAACTGTAATTTCTGTGAAGTGTAATATCTGCTTCTACAACAAAGTGATATGGTCAGTGATAAATGCTACTAGGAAAAAAATAGGGGGAAAATAGAAGAGTTAAGATTTATCTTGTAATTTCTTTTTGATCTTGAACTGTGGCAAATCTGTGCCAGTAGAAATACTGAAACTGGGTGCATGTGTGGAAAAATGTATTTAGTTAATATTGGAATATTCACAATTTTAAGGTCTACCAATGGTGTGGTGAAAGTTGTCATTTCAAGGAGAATCCTGGAGGGTCATGTTTGCTTGTTTCCAAAGACAACTTTTCATCTCAATCTGCTGCTTTTGAGTGAAACCTGAGTGCAGTGTAATGCATGGCAGCAGTAACAGAGTTCTTCTCCCTGAGTTTCAGCTGTGCCAGCTCTGGGAATCCTTCCCATTACCCTGATCAACAGCTCATTCTAGCCCTTGGCTTTGATGGCTTGAGTTATTTGATGTTTCTGGAGTAGCAGAGGGGATGGTGCCTGCCTGTGGATCAAAGCTTAGAGCTGGGTGAGCACAGGACTGGTGTTTGCAGCTGAGGTGGTGAGAGCTCCCCTGCTTGCCCAGGATGGCTGGGGATGGTTCCTGCACCTGCAGAGGTATCAGCTCCTCTCTGCTGCCTGGGAGCTGCTTTTCTCCCAAGGATAGCAGCCACTCCCATTTGTTGGAAATATTCAGAGTCTAACAAAATGTTTGCCGATGCAAGGAGAAGGCAGTTCTCCATGGCACTTTTCATGGCATTGTCCATGCTGAGGGTGAGGAGCTCTTTAGACATTATCTAAAACCTTTTGATATCCTCTGGTGTCTTGCTAAGGACTTCACCAGGTGATTCCTCTGTGTGCAACAGTGATGTGCTTCTATCAGATTTTAAACTTAGTGGTTTTGGGGTGAAGTCCTTTAACTGAAACACACATAATTCTCATATTTTGGTTTGATTTAAACTCATCTGAAGCTGTTAATGAGTGTTTGCCCTGACGTACTGCGGTGACTTTACAGCAAGTGGATTAAGTGCTGTGATTTGGATTAATTTTCAGGAGAATCCTAATGAATGCAAGCTCTCAGTGGAATGTACTTTATGCAGCGTCTAAGAAATCACATCTGACTTGTTTTGAATGCTCAAGTGGTGTCACAGCAGCATTTTTAGCATTTTGATATCTCAAACAGTGAGGCTAGTCTGAAATAGCCTTTCTGTTTGGAAGAAGTGTTTTTCTTCTAGATCTGGGGCACAGTGTCTTGCTTATTGAAGCAACTTCAGTGTAACACTGTACACTTTGTTGCATAGTTTATATTTCTGTACTGTTTTGCATAAAGATATGTAGTAGAAATAGAAGAAATGTAACTTGTATTAAAAAATACATCTGTAGGTGTTGCTTTGGCAGATAATTTCAGTTAATGCTGGTGGCTGTTTTTCCTTGGCCAGTTCTTCTTTATTTATGTGCTCTAAAATATTCTGTAGCAATATTGTTGCTAGCTTTTCTTGTCATTAAAAAAAAAACAGTGAGCACTTGAACATCTTGAGAACTGCTCACAAAGCAGTATCAATTTCCATAAGCTTTGTAAAATTCCTCATGCCATTGTATCATCTATGAAATTGTGTGAAATTGATGAAATGCTGGCTTACCCTGGCCTTCTTTTCCATTTAAAGTTTAAGATTAAGCTAAACATTTTGGAGCTATTTCTTGTTGCATCTTTTCCTATACTAACTTATTCAGAAAGGTAAAAAAATGCTCTATCTTTTCTTCCTGGATTTTACTTTTTTTCTTTCTACCCTTTTCCAGTATTTTTTGCAATATTCTTTTTTCATCACTTCCTTCCACCCACTTGCACTGTTTCTACAATTTCTTTTGGAAGTGTATCCCTGTTTTAAACCCAATCTTTAACCTGTTTGCCCAGTTGTCTCACAAATATGCTGATTTGGAGAAATTCATTCCTAATATCTGGCAAACCTGACTTCTGAGCAGAAGGGGCAGGTAGATGAGAGCTGGTGTGAAAGGCAAGATGTTGGGATACATGAGATGCTGCTGCTCCTTGGACACTGGCTGGTATTCTTTCATCTGATGGGGTCAGGAATGTTTCAGTGTTCTAGTTCTGATTTCAGTTGGGCCCAGCAGTAACATGAAATAGTCTACACTGGAAAAAAAAGTGAGAACTGTATAGTGGGATAATTTTACAGTGCTGTAGTTTAGTTACGTTTTTTGCTTCTCTGCTAGATCTTGGCTATTGACATGATCCCAGCCCAGAGTCCCTGTGCTAAAGAGTTTCCTGCCAGTGCTTGTACTACAGCTTCATACTGCACTGCAAAAATAAGGAATTCTCTTGCATATGCCATCAGAGTCTGTATTTAAAGAAAAAGCAGAGGGGAGAAGGAACAGCAACAGGATGGTGTCAAACTGTTCTGTGTTTTAAGTGGTCCCTGCTATTGAAGTATTATTTGATGGAATTAATCTCAGCTGGTTAATAAGTATATTTCAGTCAAAATATTTTCTTAACCTGAACAAAGATATAAGTTACATTTGGTTTGGGAGAAAATAAGAGTCTAGAACCACTTTTCAGTGGAGCTGTGATTCTTTTGTTCCCCTTAACCTCGTTGGTCTCATTGCTGGGTCATTGTTCCTATTTCAGATTTGCACCTGTGCTTGCTGAAGTTGTGTGGTCAGTAATGATTTCATGATTATTGTTGGTTTTGGTTCTGATTTCTGCATTTGAAGTGGGGCTGACAGCAGTGCTAAGGAACCTTCTGGTTGAGATCGTGGTCAGTCACATCAGTCTGTCCTGCCTTCCCATTTGCAGGATGATTTCACAACACAAGAGTTTCGAAACCGTGTCCTATGGAAGCTGGCAGTGCTGAAGGAAAGATGAACTACTGAGTGGTTTTAGAATTTTGATTCTCTCTCACTCAGAAAGGTAACAGGTGAAGCATTAGGGCCAGTTAGAAGTAGGAAGAAAGATGAGATGGCATCTGAAGGGTTTTGCCATCGCCAACAAAATTATGGCTTGAAGATTGATGGATTCTCTTTTCCTTTCCTCTTTGCTGTGAGAATATAACAATAGAAAAGCAAGAATAGAAGTTTCTTTTTGAGTTTAAATATAAGGGTGTAAATAAAACATTGCTTTTTTTATTAGGAGGAATTGAAAAGTACTGGAGAACTATAAATATAGGAGAATATATTCTAATGTAGGACAAACGTTTGGTGATAAACTAGGTATTTAATGTGTTATTTTTATTGATGTAGATTTTAATATGTTATTCTTATTGATACAGATATGGTCCTGAACACCGTGAGCACATGACTTCAGAGATGGACAACCAGATCTGTTACAAGTTGTGATTGGCCTTAAGTTGACTTATTACTATTGAAGAGCTTACCAGGAATTCTCTCATTCCTGATTTTTGCCTATCTGATTGCCTCACACCACCAGCTTAACCATGTATGGAAGTGCTCGTTCCGTGGGCAAGGTGGAGCCCAGCACGCAGAGCCCGGGGCGCTCGCCGCGGCTGCCGCGCTCGCCTCGCCTGGGCCACCGGCGAACCAACAGCACGGGGGGCAGCTCGGGGAGCAGTACTGGGGGTGGCAGTGGCAAAACCCTTTCTATGGAGAACATTCAGTCCTTAAACGCTGCCTACGCCACGTCCGGCCCCATGTACCTGAGCGACCACGAGAACGTGGGCACGGACACCCCGAAGAGCACCATGACCCTGGGCCGGTCGGGAGGGCGGCTGCCTTACGGCGTTCGCATGACTGCCATGGGCAGCAGCCCTAACATTGCCACCAGCGGAGTTGCCAGCGATACCATTGCATTTGGAGAGCACCACCTGCCCCCAGTGAGCATGGCATCCACCGTGCCTCACTCGCTGCGCCAGGCCAGGGACAACACCATCATGGACCTGCAGACGCAGCTCAAGGAGGTGCTGAGGGAAAACGATCTGCTCCGCAAGGACGTGGAGGTGAAGGAAAGCAAGCTGAGTTCCTCCATGAACAGCATCAAGACCTTCTGGAGTCCTGAGCTCAAAAAGGAGAGAGCTCTGAGGAAGGATGAAGCTTCAAAAATCACCATTTGGAAGGAACAGTATAGGGTTTTGCAAGAAGAAAACCAGGTATGTCATCTAATGTCACTGCTGTGTTAGTGTGGTAGCATGATTAAATGAATTTAATAAACTTGCATGCTACACTTAAGCAGCTAAATTAGATTGGTGATTTTCTTGGGTAATTGATGTGGGTAAGATGTGTTTTCAGCTTGCAAGCCCGTTTTTAGATGTTTCTTGTCAGATTTGTGAATTACCTCGAGTGCTCATTTTTCCTTTTTGTGTTGTGTGTATTTTTCCCCTAGGATTGATGGTAACCACTTGGTTTCCTTTTGGAAGTATTTATTCTGTTGATAATTAATATTTTTGTGCTGTTTACCTCTTGACGTGTTCTCTTAGATGCAGAATGTACTAACTGCTGACCCCCAGTATAACTGCACTGTTGCTGAATGCTGACAGATTGCCATTAAAAACAAAGTTGAACTTACACTCACTGGTATTTAGAGCTAAAATGTCCAGACCTGCAGTTTTCACAAACAGATATAAATTCTGTTCTTGGCTACATTTAAATAGCACTGTTAAATACATGCTTGCTTTCTTTTTGTTCATAAACTGTGCATATCTTGTTATGCAACTATCCAAAAGCACCCTACAGTTTTGTTTTTTTTTTGTAGTGGTCTGGCCAGTTACAGAATAGGCAGAAGAACACAGATTCTCAGGTGTCTAGGTCTTAGGTCTTGTGCATCTTAAAAGCATCTCCAAATTAAAATAAAACTCAGAAGCTGATTAAAATTGAGGTGTCTGTAGGCAGTTCTACTGTTTAAAAGCTTTTTTAAAGTTCTTCCACCTAAAGCTCCTTAGTCCTGAAGTACATATTTGTCTTTGAATGAGTGTCCTCCTGTTTAGTTGTTTCTGGCCAAATGTGGGTTCAGCACCTCTCTGGACTGTCAGGTAAAAAACCTCACTTTTCTTATGGAAAATAGACCCAGTGTCCAACTCCAGAAGTTCCCTGAAATGTAAGTCAGCTTTCATCATGACAAAATTACTTTCCCTATTGAGCTTTTTAAGTATCCAAGCACGTTTAATGAAAGTTTCCATAATTCAAATGTGACCATGTTCTTGTAGCTTTTAGGGTACAGTTGATATTTTAGGCAATGTTTTTTGTAAGATTGCTTTAGAAGGTGAAGGAGAGGGGGAAATGCTGAAGGAAAAGGGTACTGCTTGTTGTACTCTGCTTTCAGGTAGCCTGTCTTAAATAGTAAATTACTTTTGGTTACTGATTCGTCTACTACACTGAACCTGTCTGCAGTTTTCTTTTCACTTTCTAAAGAGCTTGAGTTGAAGAAAATAAGTTGCTTTCCTTGAGATAGTATGAAATCATTTAATGGACTTGTCATTTAGCTTTATAGCTGTATTCTTACCAATGGGACTTGTTAAGGTGTGTGACACTTTGTCTTCATTTACTTAATGTCATCTTGGAATGTAGAAAACCTGAAGTAAAATAATTTTTATTGCAAAGGTAGGATTTGTTTAGAAGCAGTAACGTAATGAAAATTTTAGTTATAATGGTGCAGTACTAGGATAACAAATATCTGGAGTACCAATCACTCAACTTTTCTGGTGTTCTTTGTATTTCAGTTGCAGGTAAGTCTTTTAGTTCTTAAATTCTTCTCATTTTTGGCCCTGTTTTCATATTGAAGAGACTGTCTTGGAATACAATAATATTTTTTCTGAAATAAATTTTGACATTTGAGAATGCTTTGGAAATCTTGCAAGAAAAATGCCATGAATATATGGTTTAAAATTGATTAAGCAAGTACTAAATATGAATACAGTTGAGAATAGTGATTTCTCTTAGATTTTTTTTTCTTTGTCTTTCCTTTATCCCCTAATTAAACATTTACAGATATTTCTAGGCTGCTGTTCTCTAGGCAATCACTGTAATTACTACCACACTGGTAGAATTGTATAACTTTGGTCCAAAAGTAAGAAGGGTGCAATTTAAAAGTAAATGGGTATTATTGCATTGAGCTGTAAAAAAACTAAGAATGCTAATTAATAGATTATAGTTAGCTAACAGTGTGTTCTAATTAAATTCTGAATTTACTGTGTCTTTTATACCCTTTTGGAGTTGGCCACTTCAGCCCTTCACGTGGAAGATCAGTTTAATAGGATTTTCTCTAATTAAACAGACGTCTCTGTTTAGACTCTGAACAAGGAATTTCCCAGATGTGTTGGGGGACCAGAAAATATCTTCATTACCTCTTCAGCCTCCTTCTAAAATGAGTTCCAGTATAATTGCAGGAACAGGAGTTTTAGACTTAGTTATTAGTGTTTCAGCACATCACTTTTTAAAAAAAACACTTCTTGCACGTGTAGTGCTTGTGCTTTATATAAAGTTTATCTCAGACCAGTTGTATTGTTTAAAATCGACTCAACTCATGGAGCCAAGATGCTGGCTGACTCATACCATTATCTGATAGTCATCTCAATCTCTTTCCTGTGGTCATGGCTCTTTATTCTGCTGCACACACTTGATTGTCCCCGATTGTATTGCTGTTCTTGTCACCTCAGCTTGAGTGATTGAATTGCCCCTTGGGTTTGGGAGTTGTTAAAAGTACCTGAAAATGTGAGCCCTGGTTGGTTGCTACCTCAGCCTTCTATGAGTAAATGCATCTTTTTGAGTTTTCTTTCCTGTCTCAATAATTGTATTGCTTATTGATTTCCAGGACATTTTCCAGGTTCAGTAAAGCTCAGAGAAGGAATGAGGACATGAAAGAGCATGCTGCCTGTCCTGAGGCAGTCAGTCACAGCCTTTTGGTTGTCCTCTGGAGGCACTAGGCAGGAGGGTTATCTTGGATATAATCCTGAGAATGGCATGCACATGTTCTCTCTGTGGCTCTCACCTGGGTGGGCATCCTTGCCCAGTTGTGTTGCAGCACAGCTGGATTCATCAGATGCTCTGAGCAAATGCTGCAGCTGGGGAGTGGAGCTTTATCTCCATCCTTTGTTACTGATCCTGAAGAGACAGAAAATCCTTTCTTTACATAAATGGGGAATGTCATTGAGAGCTCACTTTGAAGAGCTCAAAAGTAAACATGGAAAGTATTCCTGTAGTTAACCTAGGTTCTTGGAAAAACACGACAGTTTTCAGTGCAGTGTGGATGACTTACCCAGTCATTCTTCACAAGAAACCCAGAGGAAAGTGCAAATGATTGCTCAGTTATGCAAACCCATGCATATTCAAGGAGAAATTGATGAAACCAGTAAACAGGAGCTTGGTTTTGGCATGGTGACACTCTCTAAATGCTTTAGTGGGAGCTGTATTTTTCTGAGTTGAAAACTAATTTTTTTAGTGTGTGTGGTTTAAAGGTTCCCTGGAAACCTCTTCATCAGAGGAAAGTAAAGACAGTGAGTGTGTTTTGCACCACAGCAGAAATAATTTGCCTAGATACTGGGCAGTGGTGGGGTGATGTGAAACTCAAGGACAGAGGAGTTCCTCTCAGTTGAAACTCGCTTATGACAAGGTGATTGTGCCTTAAAATAAGTAGTGCAATGCAAATTTGGTGTCTAACGCCCTGCACTGAAATTTCCACATTTAACTGATCTACTTTTAAGATCAGATTTATGTTTCAGCTAAAATAGTGTGGTACTGCTGAAAACATCTTTTTACTTTGATGCATTTCTGTGGTCTTTTTGTGGTTAGAGACCTTGGATGTCTGAGTCAGAGAGTTTAACCAAGAAAATATTTCTGAAAGGAGTTTCACCTGGCTTGGGATAAGCACTTGAAGAAGATTGTACTTCATTGTGATGGATATATTCCAGCATTTCACCAGCATTCCCCAGAGTCAGAAGTATTTTCCATTTCTTAGTATTGTGTAATGAGCATCTCATTTTCAAAAATGTGGCTGTCCATGTGTTAACCTCTTAAATGCATTGGGTGCTGCTGTTATGAGACTGAGCTTCTAATGAGTATACATTCTTTCTCTGAAAATCAGATTGATTCTCACTTCTTCATTGGTTTATTTTTTTTTTTAATTATGTATTAAAACTTTTGATATGTCTTAGTACTGTGTCATTCTATTACTAGCCCCATTCCTGAGCTGGTTCTTCATTGTTAGAAAATGAAGCTTTCTTCCATTCTGGGTGTTTAATTGTGCAATGTATGGTTCCATAGGCATTGCTTAAAGGCATTCTCTGTATCCCAGAGCACTGCATTTAAATAATTCCTTCAGTGGCAGATGCCTGTTGGCTCTCTAGATTTCTGCCAGCTTTAAGGTTCCTTCTGTCACTCCCCAGCTGCAGCATGAAATTATAATTCAATTCTCTTTCAGAATAACTCAAAACTACCTCCTCAAGAGTGCTTGGTATCTGAAGCATTTATCAAGTTGCAGCACTTTATAATGACCTCAGAAGTTGTCTTGTGATCACCCAAGAGAACACCCTGTGTTCTGTCTTTTTTTCAATTCTGCAAGGAAATAAAACTAGACATTTTGTGGTTATCTATATTCCCCAAGGCTCCTTTTGTCCCTGTTTCCTCTAGAGGTGGGATCTAATACCTTGTGTTGCTTTGAGCTGTAGCATAGGCTGAACAGCTGCTCTCTGCTTGATCCATTAAACATACAAGGGGAATACTACCAACTTAAAAGCAGCTTGGAATCAAACAGGTGACATCAGTGGTGCTGCTGAACTTAGTAATTTAACTGTGCTTTTCGTGCTGTTAAGCTGGAGCAGGGATTACTTCAAATTCTGCAGAACTTAGAGCAGACTCTTTCTGCTATAATTCTTTCTCTAATATGTATTGAGTCTGTTCAGATACTAGACTCCTAACTAGGGTGGCAGTGTGTTATTCCACCATTTGGTGTTTATATTCCTGAAGAGTCTTGTCTGTAATGCTGTGTTTCTCTAGAAGCCTTTGTTTCTTTCAGCACTGTTCTATTTATGGGGTTTGAGTTAGTATTTTTTCCCCCCTTAAATGTTCTTGCTTTCTAAAATATGAACTAGGTAGCTTGAACCTGTGTAAGGCTTCCTCTTTCTTAGTCACCCAGTGAACATTTAACAGTGATAGATGA